ATATATATATATATATTATTTATTTATTTATTTATTTTTTGATAAATTATAGCCTAATTTGAGGACTCAATTGTAATTTTCAATAATTGATTCGGACTACAAAATAAAGATTGAAGATTTTACGGGTTCAATTGGATGCAATTAGAATTTAAAAGATCGAATATGGAAGAATAAAGATGTAAACGGAGAAAGATTCAAATTTGGGACTGAAACGCACACAAATGGAAAACTGGAACACGCACACGCAAATAAGCCACAATTCACCTATGGCGTGCGCCGGCCAATTCTCCGCACGCAGGACCTGACCTTTCAATTATTAAGAGCCGTTTGGTTCTATGGCACATGGATGCAGGGACCGTCAGGCAGTGTTCCTAATTTGATTCAAACCCTATGTGGAAATAATTTTTGCATGATTTTTGACCTATTTTCAACCCCTACAAATATTGAACGTGGCTACATCATTGAGAAGACTTCTCACGAACCCCTCCTACATATATTTCATTAACGGATAAATATATATGTATCAAAAATGGATTATCGAATTGGTGCCCTATTCTCATATGTGCGTGGGCCTTACGTGCATTTAAAATTCCGGCTTGTGGGACTAGCCCTCTTATTATGAGTGTAGGTAAAAGATTCGATAAAAATGTATAGATATATGTAACATTGTCCTTCATTAATTTATCACATCTAAGGGAAGCCAAAATCATCAATCGTTTGAGCAAATCACAAGGCAATTGCAAGAATCAATTTAGTGACGATCAAAGCATGGGTTTTTTGGCAACAAAGGGAAGACGCAATTGGAATTTGTCAAGAAATCATTGAAAAAATTCAAAATTTCAAGATTTATTATCTTCTTCTTCAATTGATCAAAATCCGAGTGATGTTTTACAAATTAATTACAATTTCTTGTAATTTTGTAATGTTAGGCTAATTTTCTAATTAGCAAGACATTGATGAACCTTTATTATGAAGTTTTTAATATAAATGCAGTAATTTAACATTCAATATGTGTTTATTCTTGGATGCTTGTTATAGGATTTAACAACTTTTCAATTACTTGATTACAGATTGGATTGATTGTGAATTTTATTAAATTCGAGAGAAACAATAGGATAGATAGCACTTTATAACAATTATTAGAAAGTCCGATAAGGAATATAGATATATCGCTATGCTTTGCATATTTATTGATGTTCTTGCGTTTTTAATGCATGTTTTCATGTTTGTATATTTTATATAGATATAGAAATGTCACGTAAGATGATATATGTAATTGATATTGAGAGATACTTTTAATTAACTTAGGAACATTTATCAACAAAAATGTGCACATTTTGTCATGTTATTGATTTATATCGAAACGGATTAAGAAAGGGGATTTAATGTCTTAGTAATATCAAATCGAAATTTGCAAAAGCTTTTTAAATAGCTCCATAGAATAGTTAGTTTAATTAGTTAATTTAACATAAAATCTTCAACAAAATTTGCTATTCAAGTAAAGTTAACATTAATTAATAGTAGATTGAGTTGTCCTCGTGGGAATGACACTTTATTCATCACTTTATTACTCGTTCGCGATACCGTATACAGTATACTCGTGGGAAATCGAACAATCAAATTATTGCTGTAATTTAAATGAGAATCAAATAATAACTTTAGAAGCTTGCTATGGGAAAAATATCACTGGGATCAATGCGATTCAGGGAGCAAATGTAGCTGAGAGAAGGAAGAAATAAGGAGAGCCTTCCAGTCCAGAATCTGTATTTGAATTTAGATTCTGTATAACTTGTACCAAAAAGAAGAGTGATTCGAATAGAAGGAAGTCATTATGTGAGCTGGAATTGTGTAGTTCACAGTAATAATGGGATGATTGGTGGAGTTTGTTCAGCTAATCTTCACTTAACTCAACCACTTTTTAATATGAAATTTTAATTTTTAATTTTTTATTATTTTATTTTATTTTGTCATTTATAGTTTCTTAATATAAAATTACTTGACTGATTACCATGTTTCATATTGGTACCAAGGACCTAATGGATCTAAAATGAGCAGATGTCTACAAGTTTTTGGTTCAAACTTAAGGCAAACTCAACCAATTTGCTGGTTGATATGGTAAGTAAATGGTTAATTTCAATATATCTTCGCGCCATGGCCAAACTTCAACCAAAGAATAAATCTGAGGGTACAGATTTATTTTGACAGATTTTTGACAGAATATAGATTAGTATATGGGTCCCATGTTGTATAAAAAATGTGTATGGGCCCTCGAACTGTGAGTGTTCTGTAAATATTCTGTCAAAATCATTCTGTACTTGTAGCAAGATTGTCAACCAAATGCTGGTCAATACGATTTTGCATTTTCAGACGAAGACTACCACCTCTTTAGAGTTTCACCGAGGCATGGACAAGACTAGGGATCCATCAGCGTACACCTATTCAACATTTATGTAACCATAGTGGATAACTGTACATGTAGAGTTCAGTATTTGGAAGATTAAAATTCATAGCTGTTACTTGGATTTTGAGGCATGGACAGTTTTCACTTTAACATTATCACAAAAAATAAAATAAAATAATGAGGTGAAAATGATTGTGCAAGAGATTTCTGTCTTGGCTTCGTTCTACAAAAACCAGTTCACAGATGATATTTAAGAAAGACTTTCTTGTTACTACAACGATCTGGTGCAGATTCTGGTTAACATACAAAAGAAGAAAAAATACTAAACCAAGGAAATAAGTAAATTCCTCATCGCCCTTGTGGCAAGGATATTGTCAACTCGTTGGAGCTTGAATCTAGCTTATTAGAGGACAAGGACGATGTGCTTAAAACGCGATTTCTCATTACAAAAGCCGGTTGATTAGGAACTGGAAGTACTGCAGTCTCGCCACTAAGCATGAGAACGACATTTGACATTGTGGGACGATCATTGGGATCGTCCTCCACACACAACAGCCCAACGTTAATGCACTTCAAAACTTCATATTTATCACAAGATTCAAGCAGTATTGGGTCCACCAAATCAAGTGCCTTTTTTTCACTCCACAATCTCCATACCTGCATAATAATTTTAGCATATACCAGACAATGAATTGATTACAAAGTTGCATTTAAATGGAGGAATTTAGCCACTTACATAACTCAAGAGATTTAGGTCTTCTGTGGACTGATATGATCCTGTGTTTTTCTTTCCACTAATTATCTCAAGCACAACAACTCCAAAACTAAATACATCTAACTTCATTGATAATAATCCATCCAATGCATACTCTGGAGACATATAACCACTACATTAAGATAACAAGATGTTAGTATGTATGTATAGGATTCTATAATGTGTCTATCTCTAAAAGCATAACTAAATAGAAATTCGTCATTTTTGATATAATTGACTCTACACTGCTTTGACTGGAAAGAAGAAATGGAGACCAGAGGCCTTGGGCAGAAGATCTATTTGCAAGAGACAAAAGCACTTAGAGAAACATTAATCTCAAAGGAATGAGCAAGAGCAGTAGCTCGCCGAAATCACGTATCCCAATCCAAGCCAAAATTGGGTTTTAAGAAGTGCTACTTCTATGGGAAAGAGGGCCACCTAAGAAATCACTTCTCAGAAAAGGATCATGAAGATGACACAAAGGCAATGAGTGGATATGTTGCTCTTACCATTGAGATATTTGAAGATAGTGAAATCATTGCAGTCTCAAGAGAAGAAAATAACCAAGAATCAGGGCCAGCCCCAAAAATTATGAGGCCCTAGGCAATTAATATTACGAGGCCTTTAAACTTAAATTTTTTTTAACAAAAATAGCAATATTTAAATTACAGAAATGACATTTAAAATGCTTAGAAATGATTCTGTAAGTGCAATTCTACAGACAAATCCAAATCTGAAAAGAAAGGAAAGAAAAGAAAAAAGAACAGAAAATGATGTTGACAGTTTCTTTGTTACTTCTATGGGATCGGACTTTGCCATAAACACAAATCCTTTTACAAAGAAATCCATCTTTTTTTCTTCTTTTGGAGAAATTATCTGTTTCTCCAAAACAATGGAAACAAGAAGAAAATTGGTCACCAACAATTTTCAACACATAAGAATATTAAAAAAAGAATTAAAAAAAAAAAAAAAAACCTCATTCAGCAGAATAAAAAAATCTCTTTTTGCTATCTTGCAATTTGTTTAACTAGAGTAAAAAAAACCAATAGGTAGTAAAAGATTGGAGCTATTATTTAGTTACAAAAATGCAATGGATTGATTGGTAGGATTTTGAAATTACCTTTAGAGGATTTCAATTTGGAAGTTCCATTCATATTTTTAAAAGGATTCTTTTCATCCTTCTTTGGGCTTTTCTTCATGAGGCCCTACAAAATCATGAGGCCCTAGGCAGTTGCCTTGTTTGCCTTGGGCAAGGGGCCGGCCCTGCCAAGAATGGATCCTTGACTCAGGTTGTACCTATCACATGTCCAAGATGAGACTGGTTCACAACTTATTAGGAAATGGATGCTGTGAAGGTTTTGATGGGAACAACCGATCCCTCAACAACTAGAATACTGAAGGAGATGAGACATATGCCGAAGTTGATGAGAAATTTTTACCTGATTAGGATTGTTTGATGAGCCTGACTACATTGATAAGGCCAAAAATTGTTCTTTAATGGGTCCTATTCTCAAAGGACAGATGATGGTAGTGTTTCTAAGTATAGAAGATTATGGCACATTAGTGAGATAGGCCTTCAATGTTTAAGAAAACAAAATTTGCTGACTAGTGATCGTGTAAGGAAACCTAGAGTTCTCACAGCACTGCATAGTGGGAGTCAAACCTCTTATAATCACAGGTTTTGGTTTGGGCTAACCAGGAGACACAGATCTAAAACAGATTTAATATTGAATACATTAAGCAAATGTATGAATTCAAGACTGGAATCCAGACTATCATCTTCCAAAAACATCATGTTTTGCAATTGGAGTGTAAGATACGTATCTATAAATTGATCTACTTATTTTCATTTTTCGTACTCTTAAATAGCTGCTTTCTTTAGTACTTATTCCAATAACTGAATTGCTTGAACTAGAGCCAAATCTGGAGTTTCTATGTACAATATCATAATAAGATATCAAGACTACCGAAGATATTAACAGATTTCGGTAGTCTTAAATCTCAATGTGATCATACCATGTTAAATAAAACTTACTAGGTTCCAATGACTCTGTTGGTGCTTGCTATCGTTCCTTTGCCCTCAACAATTCTTGCCAAACCGAAATCTGAAATTTTGGGATTCATCTCTTCATCTAACAGAATGTTGCTTGTTTTCAAATCTCTATGAATGATCCTCAACCTTGAATCTTGATGAAGATAAAGAACCCCTCTTGCTATCCCCGAGATGATCTCGAACCGTTTCTTCCAGTTTAGCAACTTGCATAGATTTTGATCTAGAATTGTTTTGTTAAAAATGTTATTACTGATTGAAATGTAATTTGCATAGTGAAACATATCATTTTCATGAACTAACCAAATATGAAGGCATCAAGACTTTTGTTGGGCATGTATTCGTAGAGTAAGATCTTTTCATTCTCCTTAATACAGTAGCCCACAAGGCGAACAAGGTTTCGATGTTGAAGCTTTGCGATCAATACAACTTCGTTCTGAAATTCATTAATGCCTTGCACTGAACAGCTTGACAACCTTTTCACTGCAATTTCTTGTCCTTCCGGAAAAATTCCCTGCAGAAGTAGTGAACTAGAATTAATACACAAGGGCACGAATTAGATTATAGAAAACAATGATGCAGAAATTGTAGTAAAACCTTGTAAACAAGGCCAAATCCACCTTGCCCAAGTTTGTTTGCATCTGAAAAATTCTCTGTAGCAACTAATATACTTTCCCAAGTGCAGAAAGGAACACCGATATTGCTCTTGCTATCTTCCCCTAAGTTTGCTATCAATGATCCCTCGACTGCGTTTGGAGTCCGAATTCGCCTTCGACAGATCACGATCACAACAATGGCCAATAGGACAATAACAACAGCAACAGAACCCACAACTGCACCAATTATAACCCATTTACCTTTTTTGGTTCTAGAAAACTGAGAGGCAGAAGCGGAAAGTCGAACGTTGATCGTTCTTCCACTGCCATTATTTTCCGAGAGTTGTTGTAAATTCAATAATTCACCATTCCAAACCGAGCATGCATTGCCAACATAAGAATAAGCTGTGCAAGAGCAATTACTCAAACAGACAGATTCACATTCTCCAGCACTCCTTACAGTCACTGATTGAGAATTTTCAGGTAAACTAACTTGGGAATTGATCAAAAACTTGTCTTCTCTGTCCATAAAAGTACTACCATCCCCACACTGCAGAGAATCGATCTCTCTTATGCAGCCACCCGAATAATCCTTCAAATTCCAATCAGTTTCTGACTTCTGTTTAAATCCCTGCAAACAATTACAGGAGGACAATGAATTCTGATTGCAGGTACCAAATGGCCCACAATAAGCATAAACCTCACATTGCTGCCTGGGTTGGGACCACAACAGATTCCACTCCTTCGCATTCTCCGACCATGATGACTGCATAAGTTGCCCCGAAACATCCATCACGGATTTAAATAAACTAGAGGGATCATAAAGAGAATATGTGAAGTAAGTCTCATTTACATTATCAACATAACTAATATTAAAGACATAATTCAGTTCAGCAACTGAACTGAAAATACGCCCATTCCAAGCTCCACTAGTCCAGTATTGTTCAGTCCTATTCCGTCTCATAATAAACTGTCTCCCATTTGGATCAACTTCAATGGAGAAAAGCCCAGGTGCAGGGTCCTCAGAATTTTTCCAAGAAATGAGGAGTTGCTTTGTGTTTTTATGTTTGTCATAAACAAGTTTACCACCAGGCAACAATGTATCTGTTGGATTATCAAAACTTTGCCAAAATCCTTTAATTGTCCTAGGTTCTGACCCATCTCTTAAAACTAAATTCCCATCATCACCTAGAGTTGCCACTACCGAATTTGAGGTTGTCGAGTTTACATCGGTGGACCAAATCGTAACCTGGAACTTATCCATTAGCACCAAATTCCCATCTAAAATTTTCAGTTCTGCAGAATTCATGTCTGAAATGGGTGTCTCCCTATTTGCCACCCAAACAATGGTCCTTGGACTAATATTTTTGTACCAAATTCCTACATAATACCTGGAAGACTTACCTGGTTTGAAGAATCCCAGCACAAAGGTGTTACCTGAAGAGACAATTGTCTGGTTTCCAGAAAGAGATTTGTTTGCCGTGATGCTGTCAACTCCATAGGAGAAACTAAAGTTTGTTGAGAAATATAGGATAAACAACACAGAAAACATGGAATAGGAAGTGTTTTTCGTGATCATGGCTGCAGAAGATTTGTACAGAAAAGGACGAGAGAGAGAGAGAGGATCAGTGGATCCTCATAAATCACAGAACTTTTTCTGTAAACTGGTTATTGCAGCAGGATTCATGACTAAAAATCCAAAGAAAGATGTTTTATTTTTATTTTTTTTATTATTATTTTTTTAAGTCATGTCAATTAATTACGACACTCTTATAAAAATACTTTCGAAGCGGCCAAGTCTGTCACCAAATCTGACCTTTCCAAGTATACCACAAACAGTAACTTTCATACAGTCGAAATTCAACTGCCACCAATTTCCGGCATATCTACCAGCCTTGTTTTTCAAGAACGAAATTCTTGAAAAATAAATTCCAATTGACTGATCATCACAAATTTAGACCCTTGACTAACAAAAGTCCTAAAAATGCGGTGGAAATTCCAACTGGATCATTTGAAGACTTAGTCATGGTAATCTACAGCAACAAAATCAATATAAAATTACTGGTGCAGCAACATATGATTACATTTTTGTAATGGCGGCCCCAACAACACTTTCTTTATTTATTAAGTATTTTTCTTCTTGATTTTACTTTTTAATCTTTTGGCATTCTCATGGACCTTGGCATATGTGCCTGTATATTAGGATGAGTTAATATTTGGATATGGAAACATGACAAGAGAAGGAACTTTTTCTTCTTTTATTTTATTTCAAATTATTCTGATTCCATAAAAATGTGGCAGTGGCACATGACATGTTCAGTAACGTGACAACTTGGTTAGGCGCAGGACATCGTCCAACTGCATTTAATTATTTTCACTGCACTCCATGATCAATTATAACTTCATAAATAATTAATCTCAATTCTTTTTTCTTTTTTTTTTTTTAAGTCAACGAAAGAATCTAATCAGATCTAATTAAATTAAGGGGGTGCTTAATAGACATTTTTATATAAAAATGTATTTTAGAATAATAAATTGACGTGAAATGTGTGATTGAGAAATAAAATTTTTTTTTAATTTACGTGTAATATTATATTAATAAAAAATGTGTGGTTGAAAAAAAAAAGAGAAACTAATGCATTTTAAAAAAAAAATGGCTACCAAACGGGACCTAAGTTTCAATAAATTAATCTTTCACCTGATAAGTTTAATTGATCGAGAAAATTAATTAATCGCATTTTATTCCATTTAAGGAAAGTGATTGTCCTCTCAATCTAATTAGAATTATTGTAGTTTTACAATCAATAATTATATATTCTGATTTATCGTTCTCTTGCATTAACTAATTTGATCGAGTTGATTATTCACGATAAGGTTAAAATGACCAAAACACTCTTTTCCAAATACTAGCTTTGACCCATGCAATGCACGGACACTGTTATTTTTAAGGTAATGTTAATGTCGAATGTTTAGGATTAAAGGGAGATATGTGCATTGAATGAGGTCAACAAAATAAACTCAATTTGAAAAGTAAATTTACACATGATTTCACCCATAAGATACAGTTACGAAGCATCCAAAGAGTGAAGAAATAAAGAAAACTTCAATGAGATCCAAAGAGAAATTATCTTTCGAACTAATTATGTAAAATGTAAAACGAAGAACAAAGATAACTTCAGAGAAGTTCGAAAAGAATAATTTTTCATCAGTATACAATCATCCTTTGTTGCATATATTTTGTTCATCTCATGCTTTCCAATCTCTGTCCTGTAGAAAATATGAATGGATTAATCAGCCAAAGCAGAACATACACTATATTTGTGCAAGTACAATAAGGATTAAAATAAAAGGTGCATACTCTTCTTTTCCTCCTCCTTTGCTGAAGTTCAATAGATCAAAATCATGCCACTGGTCTGAGAACTAACAAATATCGTCACATGACGACACTTATTTACGAAGGATTGCTTAAAAACTAATTTCCAAAATGTAACTTCTTTCATATCTATGAAGTTATGAATAATCTGTGGATAACAAACTTGTTATGGAAAAAAAAAAAAGTAACACCCCAATTCAATTTGGTACATACGGGATTGGTAATTAGCAGAAGTGGGCCTTGCTCCCATCAGCATAAAGGAAAAGAACAACAATAAAAATCTCTCTAACAAAATCAACATAAAAGGCCCGTATTGTCTCCTCTTCAATTCCTAGCTCAGAACATCGCACCCTCTACATAAAAAGGTCGATATGAATTTCTAGAAACTACTTACTCATTTGGCTTCAACACTGCAATAGCCCCACTTGGTAATGCATACGAGTCTCCAGGTATAGCCATTAGCATAGACTTGAGATTGCAGTGGGAGGTTTCACTATTTCTAAGTCATAATTCAGATATCCAGTGGTTGGGCAGCGCTGTATCAAATGCACTATATAAAAGTATTTTATCAAGTATGAATTTTAGTAGTGCATTTGTTTCATCTAAGAACTTCTATTTACTTGAGTGATAAAAAAATAAATAAAAAAATAAAAATAAAAAATAAACAGAAAAAAGCAAATGATACTTGCAGGTACATTGACATACCAAGCACCTTGCACCCGGGCGCGGAGCCAGCACCCGACGAGGGGGCGCGGCCGTGCGTGCTGGCTCCGTCGGAATCTACAAAGCCGTCGGGTAAGTACTTGCAGACTGCAGTTGCTCCATTGGAGCCTGGAGGAGAAGAACTGAAGAGTGAAGAAGGAAGACGAAGCCTGAAGCAGCAGCCGGGTTTTAATTTTTTTGGTTGGGTTTGGGCTTAAGTATATTAATTTTTGGGCTATTGAGTATTGACTATTGTTATTTAATTTATTTAGCCCAAGCTACAGCCCAACCCAAATGAATTTAGCCAACCCGTACCCGGTACCCATGTCTCATAACCCATTTTATTTGCCCTTTTTCATTTCAATCGACCCTCCCAACCGGCTAGCCCCAACTCCTTCTCCAAGCCAGCAGAAGACGAGAGGCAGTAGGCGCAGGCGCGCAGCGCCAAGAATTTGGAATTTCCCCCAAAATTACCGAACCCTTTTCCTCAATCTCACTTCTTCTTGCTCCAAATTCACACCATAGAGTCACAGACTTCAGGTTCAGGCATCAAAATTTTGGACCGGTGAGTTGTGATTCCTTCTTTCACTCTTTGTTATTATTTTTTTTTTGGGTTTCGGTGTTGGACTGTTGAATGTTGAATTGTTGATGATGACTGTGCCGTCTGTGCGAGTGTGCGAGTGCGACTGTGCCTGTGCGAGTCGGTGTGACAGTGTGAGAGCGAGACAGTGAGAGGCGAATGTCGATGGGGTTGGAATTGTGAAGAATTGTGAATTGTGGATTTGTGAAGAATTTGTGAACTGTGAATTTGTGAAGTATTGTGATTTGTGATTTTGTGAAGAATTTGTGAATTCGTGATTTGTGATCTGTGAATTTGTGAAGAATTTGTGAACTGTGAAGTGATAAATGGAATTCTAGAATGGAAAAGTGAGAATTTGAAGACGGGAATAAAGAATTTTATAAAGAATTTGAAAACAAAAATGACACTCAAGATTAGAATTACCTTCTCATAAAGAATTTGACAACAATTTAATGGAATTGGATCTTTGCGATAAATAATGTATTAGTCAAACATAAAGAATTTCTCCATAATGCTATAAATGGAACAAAAACATGAAATTAAATGTATAGTCTGGTTCAAGACTTCCAGTAAGAAACTTGTTGACATTAGGTTTCAATCCTCGTGTTTGATGATGAGTAATTTATGTGAATTTATGTTTACGAAATTGTATTTGCGAATTGTGATTTATGATGAGTAATTTATGATTTGATGAGGGAATATGATATTATGAATGATTATTGATTTGGGAATTACGTTTAGGATGACATTTTGCAGATTATGGAACGATTTTTTCAACCAAAACGAAAGTCCATACCCAATTCTTCTACTTCTAGTTGTGGGTCTAGTCCCGCCACTGATTCTAATCGAGCACAAGAGTTATTAAATAACACGAAGAAGTCTCGGGCTCAATTGAATGTGGATGATCTTGTATCTGATCCAGGGAAACGGCCCCCTATTGAATCATATGATCCTAATATTAGAGATGTTGTTAGGATGGCATACTTGGAGAAGGGTCCTTGTCAACCATATGAACATGATTTCCCAAGAAGACCGATGGGGGAATGATAATAGATGTTTTCGGAAAGAATGGTTCTCCAAATTTCATTGGTTGGAATACAGTATAGAAAAGGATGCGGCGTATTGCTTGCATTGCTACCTGTTCAAACCTGATAGAGAGGGTTAAGGGGGTGGACATATATTTACTAAGACCGGCTTTAGGGATTGGAAGCACAAAAAGACATTGAAAGTTAATGTCGGTCTCTTTAATAGTTCTCATAATCAAGCTTTTGCAAAGTGTACCAACTTGATGAATCAAAAGCAAAGTATCTCTTACGTTATTTCTAGCCAAAGTAGTAGTCAACAACAAAGTTATAGGACCAGGTTGACTGCGGTGCTAGATTGTACTAGACTTCTCTTGATGCAAGGATTGTCATTTCGTGGTCATAATGAATCGGAAGAGTCTCTTAATAAAGGAAGTCTGATTGAGGTATTGAACTGGTTTGCAGCTGGTTTTAAGGAAATTAAAGAAGTATTATTTAGTAATGCTCCTGGAAATGACCAAATGACTTCACCAACCATCCAAAAGGATTTGATTAATTGTTGTGCTGTAGAGACGACAAGGGCTATTATCAATGAGATTGGTGATTCTTTGTTTTCAATTTTAGTTGATGAGGCTCGCGATAATTCTATGAAAGAACAAATGACAGTTGTTTTAAGGTTTGTTGATAAAAGTGGGCGAGTGAAGGAGCGTTTTTTGGGTATATCCCATGTCACTGATACTTGTGCCCAATTACTGAAGGATGCCATTGATGCAATATTTTCTACACATGGGTTGAGTATATCTAGTCTGAGAGGTCAAGGCTATGATGGAGCAAGTAATATGTCAGGTGAGTTTAATGGGTTGAAAGCTTTAATTCTTAGAGAGAACCCGCATGCTATGTATGTTCATTGCTTCGCTCACCAGCTTCAGTTGGCAATTGTATCTGTGGCACGTAGGAATTGTATGGTTGGTGATTTTTTGGACGTACTTGCTATTATTGTGAATTTGGTTGGTGCATCATGTAAGCGTGTAGATGCTCTTCGAACAAGTTATCAAGCTAATATTCTGGAAAAACTTAATACTGGGGAACTTACTGGTGGAAGTGGTCAGTTTCAAAAAATGAGTTTGGCACGCCCAGGTGATACTAGATGGGGCTCACATTTATTTACAGTTACTCGTTTCATTAATATGTTTAATGCTATTATAGATGTTCTTGAGAATATATCAGAAGATGCCGTACATTCAGATAAAAAATCTTCGGCCTTAAGGCAGATGAACAATATGCAAGATTTTGAGTTTGTGTTCATTCTTCACTTTATGTTTGAAATTCTTGTAATTACAGACGACCTTTCACAAGCCTTACAGAAAAAGAATCAGGATATTCAGAATGCTATGAGGTTATTGAATTTGTGTAAGTGTGTATTGCAGAACTTGAGAGAGAATGGTTGGGATACTTTATTCAGTAGGGTGATTGAGTTTTGTGTTGATAGATATATTTTAGTGCCTAATATGGAGGATATTGTAGTGGTGAAAGGTCGACCTAGGCGTGTAGCTCAACAGGTGACTTATTTTCATCGCTTTTATGTTGATTTGTTTTGTCGTGTGATAGACTCAATCTTGCAAGAGTTGAATGATCGATTTCCAGAAACAACTACTGAGCTCTTTACTTGCATTTCATGTTTAAGTCCAAGAGATTCATTTGCAGCTTTTGATAAGGATAAATTGCTACGTTTTGCTCAGTTCTATCCTTTGGACTTCAATAGTGAAGAACTTTTATTACTTAGACCTCAGCTTGATAAGTTTCTTTTGCTTGTGAGAATGGACGAAGCTTTCTTTAATCTCAATAGTATATCCTGTGTAGCTCAGAAGTTGATTGAAACTAGAAGTTCCTGTTATTTTCCATTGGTTTATAGGCTGCTCACCTTGGCTTTGATATTACCTGTGGCAACTGCAAGT